TGATTGAAGAAGTTAAATAAAAATGTCAGTCATCAATTCATGCATCACCTCATGTCATCATAACAGAGGTCTGTCTTCCAGGAAAGAACAGTTTAAAATTAATGTAATATAGTATTGGCCATACTATATGATGTATTGCTCGTCTTTGTTTAATAATACAGAAGACAAAGACCTTAAAAAATAATCGCATATCGCATCGCAATCGCAATATTGGGGCAAAAAATCGCAATTAGATTATTTTCCATAATCGTTCAGCCCTAAAATGAATGCACACCATTTGACACTAAAGTTGTGACGAGCATGATGAGTCAGTGTAGTGACTAAGTGATATTAGCGATACCAGATGGAGGTATGAGTGTATCCATGTGGTCATGTCTTTTCTGTCTGGTGAGGGATGTTGAGTACCAAAAAAGGCAATGATAAACCAGAGAATGTTCACAGACTTACTATAATGTATTAATAAATTAATGAATAAGTATAATATGATTTCTCTATTTAGTTCTAATTTGTGACTCTGTAAAAAACCTAATATTAAAGTACATGTAGTATTTTAGGCATAGGAGTTGTGTCATTGTTTGACTGAGAGGGCCTGGACCTTCTGTGCTTCTCCCAAGTCTTGTTATCACGGGACAAGTAATCATTTTAACTGACACACATAAAAATGTATGTTTCTTTCTTCTAAAATTTTTTTGCTTAATTCCAAAGCAGGTTTAAGTTTAGGTTTTAGGGCTAGGGTTGGGACCATCACTGATGACAATTTAGACCTCAGATGGTTAACCTCTTACCATCCACAACGTCGCTGGCAACCTGTTGGTTTTGGTTTTGTTAGAGCCACATGCTCAAGAGGCAAATTTTCATAAACTACATGTTAGCTGTCATACATCTTTGCATTGAAGTTTTCATATTAAATTGGAATGCTTCAGTCAGGGCAAAAATTTATAAAAAAGCCATGGACAGCATAAAAAATAGTAGATGGTAAAGGAAATAAGTACCATAACAGGATATTAGTTAAATGGACTGGTTCTTAAATAGCGCTTTTCTACTTTGTCTGAGCACTCAAAGTGCTTTATACAACTAATTCATTCACCCAATCACATCTTCTAAGCTCTTAAGTGCTAAATATCTTACATTTATACACATTCACACTCAGATGGATGCATCGGAGAGCAACATGGGGCGACCGTGGCTCAGGGGGTTGGGAAGCGCATCTGTAACCGGAAGGTTGCCGGCTCGATCCCCGGGCTCTCTGTCCTGGTCGTTGTGTCCTTGGGCAAGACACTTTACCCTACCGCCTACTGGTGTTCGCCAGAGGGGCCGATGGCACGATATGGCTTCTGTCAGTCTGCCCCAGGGCAGCTGAGGCTACAACTGTAGCTTGCCTCCACCAATGTGTGAATGTGAGAGTGAATGAATAGTGGCATTGTAAAGCACTTTGGGTGCCTTGAAAAGTGCTATATAAATCCAATCCATTATTATTAGTATCTTGCCCAAGAATTATTTGGCATTTTGCACAGACTAGAGCAGTCTGGGATCAAACCACCGACCTTCTGGGTAGTGGTTGACCTGCTCTGCCACCTGAGCTACAGCCTTAATGTGGGTGGTTCTTGTAAAATTAAGTTACTTCATACTCCATCTTTCAGTGGACAGTACTGACAAAACCGCCTAATGTGTGAAACTGACATTGCGGATCCCAGTCTTAAGAATTCAGATAGTGTTTGGTTTTTGCTTTAAACACTTACTGCAGTATAATGAATGCAGCATCATTCAGGGGTTGACAATCTGTCCTGTTGCATAAATTTCTACACCAGAACATTTTTCAAAACATTTTTAGTCTTTCGCCTAATAGCTGCCTTCTCTTTTCCCCTCAGCTCTTATGTACAGTTGTGGTTGATATCTCAGCTCGGGTTTTGACCACATCCAGCACAGATGACCAGCCCATTTTTTCTCAACGGCACTATCAGCACACCGACCAAGACACGGGCACCCAGCTGGTCTGTGATAAGTGCCCGGCTGGCACCTATGTCTCCATCCACTGCTCTCCAACTTCTGTGAGGGAATGCAGCCCCTGTCCCAAAGGCACCTTCACACGGGGAGAGAATGGAGTTCAGCAATGCCATCGCTGCAGGAGTCCTTGCCCAGCTGGCTTTATTGAGAAAACGCCTTGCACAGCCACCCAGGATCGAATCTGCACATGCCCACCCAATACATTCCTGTCAGGGGATGGTGCTGCTGTGTGTAAGCCCCACTCTTTGTGCCCCCCAGGCAAGAGGGTGAAAAAGCAGGGCAGTGAGAAAAAGGACGTGGTCTGTAAGCAGTGCTCTGAGGGAACTTTTTCAGATTTGAAATCAAGTGCAACACAGTGCAGAAATCACACAGACTGCCAGGTTCAGGGGCTGGTGCTGCTCTCACCAGGGACTAGAGAGAAAGATAATATCTGTGGACCCCTTTCTACAGCTCCATCCTCTGCCTCCACCACCGCTTCAGGTGGCTCAGGACTTTTACAGGAACCCATTATTTCTTCAATCTTTCCAGCACCCCTGGCTGGACCTGCACAAAAAGGTGAGGGATGGGAATTCTGTTTAATAATCTTCTATTTGAATTTATATAGTTTTCAACTTTAACTGTTTTTTATTTTAATGTTTCTTTACATTTATAAAAGTTGACCTAATAAAAGTTGCATTTTTCAAACATTTTCCATGTGAATTTCCCTGCGAAATTTCAAAGGTGGCATTTATTGTCTCCTCCATTATTGCCTTGCCTAAAGGCCTCTTTTATGCTTGCTTACATTATCAACAGCAAACAATATTAGCTACCAATAGCTAAAAAAGTGCTAATCATAATAATAATAATCCTGTTAATAAAACAATAACAATAAACAGCTGGCTTGCAAGGTTCCACACACTAAATGTGACACAATAAGCAAGGCAGAATTAGGCAGCAAGCAGCTACATTGAAAGGCTAGCAAGTTATTTGAGTTAGAAGGTAAGCTAAGATTAACCGTCAGTCAGAATTTTGGGGGCAAATTATTATATAATTTTGGGGGCAAATTATTATAATAATAAAATAATAATAATAATTGCTATTAAAGTTAGAATATGAAAACCAATAAGTTTATTTGTACAGTGCCTTAAAAAGCACACAAAGTGGTTTACAGGAGTTTCAATTCATTGAGGTACAGTACCTTCATTTGGCTTTCTTCTGGCTTAGGGACTAGTAAAGCGCTATATAAATGCAGGCCATTTACCATTTACCATTTAGGTAAGGTACTGCTGGTTTCCTTAAGTAATGTAGTGGGAGCATGTAGGGTGCACATATAAATTAAAGCATAAAGTAAAAGTGCTTATTCTTCTTTATGAATTATTGCTTAGAAATTCCCAAAGGGAAGGACATCTGTAGGCATGGAAAAAAAACTAGCTTTAGTTCCCTTTCCCAGTAATGGTACTGTTTGTGAAGATTAGGACTTACGGGAATTTCTCTCTTTTTTCCTCAGCAGACTTAGAAAGCAAGTAGAGCAACTGCAAGTAGAAAGCAAGAAATCTGCTCCCTTTTTTTTTGTTTCTCCTCTATGTAGAAGACCAGTTCTCAATATGTCTTAAACTGCTTCTACATCAGCTGTGATTCATTCAGTACGTCAGTCATTTCTCAGAATCAACCATCCAAAGTCAGTATACTCCTCCCCTGGGTCAGCCCTACCACATCTATAATACTGTCACTGCTGTTTGTGTCAGTTAATCTGACCTGATCTGTGCTGCAGTAGTGGGGCCATTACATACTTGCAGTTGTTCATTTTCACCTGTCTCTTATTGTCAGTAGAAGTAAAAGGCATTCTGGGAAGAAAAGGATTGGCAACTGAATTGTAGTGGGTGTGTGTACTAAAACGTCATAGCACAGTGCTAACAGAAGTGATAAAGTACTACATCAACTAGCTATATGAGGTGTATAACAAGTTAGTGTAGAGGGTTTAATCTCCTAGCAACCAAATATATTGAAGCAACTCTTAAATCCATATATGGAGACATGAAAAGGTTATAGAGGTCTTGGAAAACAATGATCTAATACTTACAGAGGAGATAGTGATATGATTCAGGATGTAGGATCTACATAAAAGATTTAAAAAATTGAATCTGTTGCTCACTGCCAAATTCATATTTCTCATTTAGAAATTATTTGCTGATCAAACATTATAAACCCCATAAATAGTTATTTTGAGCCCGAATGAACATTTGGACTCAAAAAAACTATTGATTGACAGCTACCTAACATCATCTAAATGCTCTTTTTCATCTTCATGAATATTCAGATTGTAATAACAATTTTAAAAAGGTGTACACGGCCCACTCAGTGATGAATATTAACTCATTCACTGCCATTGACGTCTATAGCCGTCAATTGCAGTGAATGAGTCAATGGGTTTAACTCATTCACTGCCAATGGCTGGCAGTGAATGAGTTAATAAACAGCTGGAAAGTCAATAAAGCGCGTTTGTGCCACCTCATAGACATTCGGTTGTAATTAAAGTTATAAGCCACCACCTAGTTTTTTTTCACCAACACTTTACCATTACGTAGCTTTAGTTAGTGTACGACGCTCACGCCATGTTATAATGATGCAGGGTGTTAGTGCCAGCCAAAATATCACACTGATTTTGAGGATTTGTCTTGCATAAACAGAAGCCAGTTGCTTCTGTGAGCAGCAGGGTGGTACTGGCTGACACACTGATAATCAATAGTGGTAAATAATGCACTGATATTGATTGATCATTGGTTTGTTCCAGTGTCCACAAAGCACTGCTCCACTTTTATGTCAAACACATTGCTAATTGTTCTACCATTTCAACAGACTGAAAGCAGTTTTTAAGTTGTTCTGTCTGACTAGTTCCCTCTCTTTTTTGATTTAGCACTGTTCCTCCACCCAGGCTGATTACAATGTCCCTCACTTCTTAATTAATGAACAGACTGTGGAATGAGCAATTTAGAGCTCATCTGCTCTACGATAACAAGATGGAGCACAGCTTTGTTTGCAAAGCAGAAGGAGGAGAAGGATATTAGGGGAAAGTTTGTAGTTACATTTTGACAGATGATTTACCTCTTGAGGGATGCAAACATACTGTAGTCACCCAAGTCAGTTGTGTTCACACTAAGTACGACTGAAACAATATTCAGCACCTCATCATCACTTCTGTGCAGTCCCTTTGGAAAGCTGTGCCTTTTCAGGCTTCTGTCTTGGATATTATTATTTCATTTTCTTCACTTGAAACCCACTCCTGCACCTAATGTAAGAACAAAATTAAAAATTTTTCTGTTTGTGCACCAAGCTATGCTAATTGCAGATGCTCAGATTAAGCTCTCTGGTCATTTTTTGTGTGTGTTGTGTACAGCTTCTCCTTGTTCTCCCCAAATGTGGACATATGTATTAGAGACGGACCGATCCGATATTACGTATCGGTATCGGTCCGATACTGACGTAAATTACTGGATCGGATATCGGAGAGAAATAAAAAATGTAATCCAATCCATTAAATATCAAAAAAGTACCTCACAAAACTTGCCACATGGCGTAACTCGGCTCATAACCGTAGCACGGAGCAGTGTGCTCAAGTGATAGAGCGGCTACGTGTATTTGTAGCCTCAAACCAGCATTTCATCTCTGATGAAGTCATCCCAGAGAGAAGAAAAGCAAGTGTGTAAGTCCATCTCTGAATGTTTGTAAAGCATTCCCACGTTAAGATTAACAACCGATATATGGAGCGACTGCCTCTTCTTGCTGCTACTTCAATCGTGAAACTGCTTAATGATCAGCTGATCGGCTTTTCTGTCGCGAGTCCGTCTCTCTTGCTTGTTTGTGGCCCACTTTGCACCAGAAAGTGGAAACCAGCGGCTGAACAACAGCAGCACGTTTAAGCTTGATTAACTGTTGTTAGAATTTATTTAATATTACTTTCTAGACCAGGATCCTTTTCTATGCAGCTGACGGCTGGTAACTGTACAGGGGCGGATCTAGCAAAGTTTAGCCAGGGGGGCCGATAGGGCATGAACAGGGAAAAGGGGGCACAAAGACATACTTTTCTTTCTTATTCTCATTTAAAATGTCGAGCTTTTAATAAATAATTATCTTACACCCAAAGTTTTAATCTTATGTAAAATATATAGAAGTCCATTACTGTATATAGTAACTGTTAAGTCTAATATACCCTAGTAAGCTATAGTACTTTTTCCTTTGGGAAGGTACCATCTGTGCAGTCTGCAATTCTGTTGAAGAAAGATGTTGAATCTATTTAATTATTCTTGAAAAAGAATTGATTTCTGTGCATTTTTTTCCCACACTGCATCAAATTAAAGTTGATTACGTCGATTAAGCATCTTGAGGTGGAGGGTGGGGGTGGTTCCCTATTTTTTTTGCTGGGAGTTTGCAACCCTATTAGTTAGGTTGCTCAATATTTCTGCTAAGTACTCTGTAAAATACCAGAATAGGAAGGATGGAGAAGGTTTAAGTTTATTAGATTGATCAGTATTGCTGAACTATGAAATATTTTGGGTGCAGTGTATTTTTTACATACAGGTATAACAGAATAGCTTTAGTGTTGTTGTTTATTGAAACTTGAGTATGAACTTATACAAAATGCAGCAATATATTAAAAAAAAACAGTTTTATTGAATAAAAAAACACACTAATATTCATATCGGTATCGGCCGATATCCAAATTTATGATTTCGGTATCGGACATAAAAAAGTGGTATCGTGCCATCTGTATATAGATATGTATGTATATAGATTTTGACATCTGTCAGTCATTTACACTGGTCTGCAATTTCTGCAGAGTATTAGTATTAGTATGCTCAACAAAGGAGATTTTGACCCCTGTGAACATCATCTAAACACTCTTTTCGTTTTCATGAATACTCAGATTGTAATAACAATGTCAAAAAGGTGTACAAAGCCCACTCAGTGATGAAGTAAGTCAACAAAGCGTGTCTGTGCCAGATTGCTTGGATGGATTAAGGTGTTAGGATCCTCCGCCCGTGATACCGTCTGGTTTTTTTTTTTGTCTTAGTTAGACAGAACTCCCAAGTGACTGAGTTTAATTCCCTCTTTCTCTGTGTCACTGTTGTCTCTCATCTGCTACTTATACTATCTACTATCTTTGCTTTCCTTGTCTTTCTTATCTCTCTTCTTGCTTGTTCTGTGTCTCCATCAACCTCTCTGCCTCTCAACACAGGTACCCACAGCCAGTCAGCAGCCATTCAGCTGAAGGAACCCCAGGGTGGAAAAAGCCAGCGAGCAGAAGAGCTCCTCCGAAGCCATCCTGGCACTCTCACCCAACCAAATTGGACTCCAGTTCTCCCAGCTCATGAGGAACCAATGGACCATGAGTTGCAGAGGGGGCAACTGAATTCTGAACCAAACCCAGGGCCTAACAAGAGGGCAATGGAAGATCTGGGGACTGAAGAAATAGTCAAGGTTGAAACAAGCATAAGAAAGATTAATGGACAAGATAGCGCAGGTGGGGCCTCCAGCTCCTACAGGCCAACTCGCAGGGGATTCCCAAGACCAAGCGCCCATAATCACTTTGACATAAACGAGCACCTGCCCTGGATGATTGTACTGCTGCTGCTGCTGGTGCTGGTGGTGATCGTAGTGTGTAGTTTGAAGCAGAGCTCTCAGGTGTTGAAGAAGGGCCCAATGCAGGACCCGAGCAGCATCATGGAGAAGGCAATTCAAAAGAAACCCCCTGCACCACTAACTCAAGTCCGAGAGAAGTGGATCTACTATGCCAACGGACAAGGTAAACCTACTGGATCTTTTGGTGTTGGAAACTGCTTTTCAACTGAGGTAGAAACACAGTTAGATCTTCAGAAGAGTCTCTAAGACTTTAAAATTGCACACATTCAATTATTTTGATAACTTGGGGTTTGGTGCTGAAGTTGTGGAACATAAAAATCTATCTCTATCATTTTCTCTCAGTTCGAGGGGTTAGGGTTAGGAGTTAGGGTCATTCAGTTAAAATTCAGCGACATGGATGAATAAAGGGAGAATTAATCATTTGATGTCAAGGTCAAGGTAACTTTATTTATACCCAAAGGCAAGGTGAATTTGCTTTACAGAAAAATGACAGCATTTGGCATCCCTTTAAAAACACACATACCTAGTAAATATATAAAGCTCACTGTGGCACATATATAGTAGTTTTGATATTTCGAATCAAAAACAGTTCTTATTTAATTCAGTGACAGCAACGGGGACAAAGCTATTTTTATAACGCTTGTGAATTTGGGGCTTCAAAGTTAATCTACTCCTAACCTTTAACCAAGTGACTGAAGAAACTACTAACATGACAGGGTCCTACCATGGCCATTGTGTTTTTTGTAAACTCAGCATTGTTTCTACTAAATGCTCTACATCTGCAGCTCACAGGAGGCTGCAGACTCTTACTCAGTGCATATCTCAGGCTAACGTTATAGCGTGCGTGAGTTCTGCTTGTGAACTGCGTAGATCCCCGTACCGATTCCACCCTCCCCTCCACAGTTTCTTATTGCCACTCTCTGTAGCTACAGATTGAGATGTAGGGTTGAATGTTTTCTACTTGTAGAAAACATTCAACCCTACAGCACAGATCTTGATTTCACACTGACTTAGGACAAGAGACTCAGACTCAGGGAACATATCCTGACAGAGACACTCAAGTCTCAAGTAGAAATCTGTGTATGTGTGCATGTAACCTTGTCTGTGTGTGTGTTCTTTAATCAAGCTGAGACATCCGCTACCCTCTCTCTGCTCCCTCATTGACTGACCACAGAGAACTGGAATAATCTGGTTTCAGCTGCATCAGAGTTGTTGTTTGGTTGGCAAGGAACATTAGTAGGTCAATCTGGTCTCTTACAGAGTGACAAAGAGATATATGGAGAAAAGGAAATGAAGAGATAGTGCTGGAGTTGTGTGTGTGTGTTGTTTGGAGGGGCTAAGGTTTGACACAGGAAGTGTTATACTGTTGCTGGCTAACCACATTGGGCTTTCCCTGCTGTTGCCTAGCAGCCCTGATACTTAAGATGCCTGTTATAGAAAGGAAAGGTAGGCAGTTAGAGAAACACAAGTACATTTTATGAAGCTATCAATTATCATTCAACTTTACAACTCCCAGCTTTACCAACATGGTAAATGTGATGGTCTTGAGTTGAGTCAAAGCATTTTTGACTTATACAGTTACTTCTTTTTAATACTCTTGATTTTTTAAAATATAAAAATAGCTCTTTCTTTTAGAAGTTCATACATTGAACAAATGAGTAATAGCAACAGTAGACTTAACTTTACAATTGTAGCAAATCCTCTGTGCTTATTTATAGTGGGTGGACCTAAAATAACCATAACGGCAACCGCCTGGCGAAGTTGGAAACAAAATATTTAAATAAGGGCCAAAGTTTCAAAGATTGATGTAATCTCACAGCAAATCAAGATTCAGTATACTTTAAAAACTTTTTTCTATAGTTCATTATGAGTGCAGGAAGCCCCACCCAGCTGCTAACCTTGCTTTTTGGGTTTAAGCGGGAGGAGTGAAAAGGCCACCTGAGTGGCTGGGAGTCCCAGTTTGATATAAATAAGGATTATTATGGGTACTATGGCTCATGCAGGTCTACTTTAATGTAAAAGAAGTTAAATTATGAGCTCCTGTTTTGGAGCTTGTTTTGTCTCTGTTGAATGTGCAAATAAGCAGTTAATTGCTGAAGTTTGTCATGTTAACTTTATATGGTAATAATAGTTTTGTGTTTACAGCTTGTCCTGATTCTGCCAAGTGACAAAAGAAAATGAAGAAACAAAAAAAAACCCCCAGTTAATTGTGCCTCATGTTGTTTTGTTTTATTTCAAATGGGTCTAAGATCAGATTATGTTTAACAGGAAATGATCTGGACTGTGTTACCGCCATGTTTCTCATTCCTGGATCTTGTAACCAAAAACCCTACTGGTGCTTAAACCGGACAAAACAAACATTGCCTTGACATGGCAATGTGAGTACATGTTGGTGTTCTTAAAATAATGCTGACAGATAAACAGCACCTGCTAGAATAGATTGATGTCATAATCTACAACAACAGGTGTCCCCCGAGGATACAGTTCCTAAATGCACGACTATGGGCAAATCATTTGGAAAAAAAAACTACTTGATGAAACTCATTAAACACATTAAAGTGAATAAAGTCTGGGTTTCAAATGAATCTGTTTAAATGATTCTGTGTTTTTGTGCATTATGTTTGTGTTCTCCTGATTAGATGAGTAATCCACTGCCCACGTGTATGCATTTAGGTGAAGATATACAGTGGGGCAAAAAAGTATTTAGTCAGCCACCGATTGTGCAAGTTCCCCCACCTAAAATGATGACAGAGGTCAGTAATTTGCACCAGAGGTACAC